CCTCAGGACACCAAACTTTAGACGTCTTTGTGTCAGATTCATTGTGCATGAACAATTTTCGTGTCGACAAAGTTACCCGACATCAACATGCTATTTTCATATTCATGTGAAACATTATCTGATATGTAGGTATTATATAGGTCTTATAAGGTAAATGTTGTAATTTTCCTTGGCAAAGTAGCGAAGGCGAAGAACCTTCAAATAAATTGGAATCAGGTAGGGAATGAGTTCTTTTTTTCAGATCAGAAACAGAATCAGAAACTTCAATTCATGATAACTAGCCTTTACTTTATTTATCGAGGGTTAACACAGAATAGTAGACATCAACTAACAAACTTTTGGCCCTCAGTTAGATAAATCTAAAAATGCAATATTTTATAATACTAAATAGATAAGAACTCTAAAAACTTAATAACTCTAACAAAGATAAATAAAAAAAAGCATCAGAAACAATAAATACAATAAAACAAATGACAAAATGATAAGACAGGCTGAATAGTAAATAAAACTGATTAAGAGAAATTAAACTGCGGCAATAACCATTGGTTGTCCAAAATAACATGCTTGTTTAAAAGATTGAACAGATGGTTTTTTTCTTAGGCAATAACCGTTGGTTGTCCAAAATAACATGCTTGTTTAAAAGATTGAACAGATGGTTTTTTTCTTAGGTCAATAGTTAACTGCAAAAGACTTTCCACCTTTCCAATTTTCTTTTATAACGAGGGTAAATAAAGTTAAGACTGTATACCAAGTTGACCTTAAAATGTCTATCACTATTAAGAACCAAACTACTAGTTAAAAACTCTGAAGCGTCATTGTTGATTCTTTCGTATGCCAATACACTCTTAAAAACTTTCGCTTCCTCATAGAATGGAATCCAACAAAGCTTATCAAATAGTGGAACAGATGGACGAAATGGTCCCGCGTCCAATATAATCGTAGCCGCCCTTTTCTGGAGATGAAGAAGCCTCTGTAGATCTCTGTCTCTTGCCTTTACTACAACCTGCTAGCCACGCAGCATTTACGTAGTTAAAAACTTACCTGATTGTGGTATTGCAGTAGAAAAGACGCTTCTTAGTTGGTAAAACGGTTTCAATTTTGTTAACTTCGCTTTCGATCTCGAATTCGAAATGATTTGAAAGTCGACGTTAACCCATCCTTATTGACTGAATTATTGAGGATTGATTTCTTCTGAAAATACTTGGGAAAGCTCATTTTTCTTTGGTATTATTAAAATACAAAACGTGCCTGTACCTGTTTAGTTTTAAACGACATTCTGCTTACCGCCAGAATCAGATTTTTAAATAGACCCTTGGTCAAGTTGCATGTGTGTTAGACTGTAGTGTCGGGAATCTGAAGTACCCTGCAGAAGCAGAGATAGAATCAACGTATGTTTCTTTGAAGCTTGTTCTCTCGTTTCTGTTTTCATAAGGAAGGGAAGTACGCCTAGATACTTACTTACCAACTACAACATATGAGTGGGAGGATTGCTAGTTCCTCTCTCAGTTTGAATCAGACATTGAAGTAGTTACAAACTAAAGCTATTTTTGGGCACTGAACGAGTGTCTACTTTCCGTTGTCTGATCTCTTTGAGTTCTACAATAATTCCTCTCTAACTTACACCAAACATGTTAATAATTTTGCCATTCGTTCTAACTCCGATTTGAGTACGATTGTTTATCAACAAACATTTATTACTAGGAACGTTTGTTCGGGAGTCGATACTACCCTTCCAGTTAGCCATGTAAATTTCCAGTGAATTAATTTAATGCTGTTTAATGAAATAGAGTGTTATGACCATTTAAAATTAATGGACAAAATTTTTTTTCAAGCGTGAAAGGATCCAAAAGAACAACTGAATTCAGCCGTTTCTAGTCACTGCAGGCCTTATTTCAGTAATGACTATACAACAAAAAATTTGCAAATGTGATAAACGCGAATCTTAGAGGAATAGTAATCTTTGCTTTGAAGTTTGAGAAGCATGTGGCGAACAAAACAGGACGATTCACTTCAGTGGCTGCTGCTTCTTCCCTTAATTCAGTATCATTCAATTATCACGTTTTTGGGCGGTACCAGACATCGCTTCATTTAATCCAGAGATCATCACGTTTATGGGTGGTATCATACCTAGCTCGTCATTAGATATTGTGTGCCTGAGTGCTTCTTCCTCTCTTTTGTGTCAGATGTGGTGTACTTAGGAACGAAATCTATTTTTGAGCACCTTTTGTCTATTTTCTTTTGTCTGTTTGAGTGCCGTGTTGTTCTCAGCCGACTAAGGAAGACATTTATTTACGTGCAATTATCTTGGCGCAAGCGGGTTTATCGTGCTATAACTGACTGCATATTCGTAACTGTTGCGAGTTTTCCAGTCAGTGTAAACGTGTCTTTTGCAAATTTCTGATTCCTGTGGCTAGTGTTTCTTAGATGAACTTAAAGCTCAGTACTGTAAATCAGATAAATAACAGTTTTTATTCATTGAAATCTCCCTTTTTCACAATCGCACTCATGACCCAACTCGTCACCGCAGTGGTCACGTAGTCTTGTTTAGTGACGTGTGGAGGAGCCGGTTATACAAGGACTCAAAGGCAGACTCCAAGAGTCGTAAATATCATCAAAGTACCAGTGCTTACATCTTTAATTCAAAGAAAGTTCGGTACATTCGTAATCAGATTTAAAGCCAGATCGGAGATTAGCCTTGGTTGGATTTATGGTGCGACCGCCTCTAGTTTAATTGTCCTAATCTTGCAAGTGCATGTAGAGGCTTTCAGCGTGCGCTACTTACCTCATTTTAATCTGTTCCTCTATTGTGTTTTTGCCGGAGTTTTGTTTTCAAGCACACAGAACGACATAAAATAAATGTGCTGTGGTGGTTTCTCAGGTACCCCTGCAGGCGAGTATTTTAAGATAGATAAAGAACCATTGTCATTCAGACTTCCGTTTTTCACAATCACACTCATGACGTGCGAACAGGTCGGGGTAGGTGACGCTGTCTGGTCCAGTGACGTGTGAAGGAACTGGTTATAGAAGTATTTAAAGAAAGACGCCGAGAATTGTTAATATCATCAAAGTACCGGTCTTAACAGCTGAAATTCGAAGTACTTTCAGTACAGTCGAAATTAGATTTGAAACCAGATAATAGAATAGCCTTGCTTGGATTTATCTATGGTAGGGACCCACTCTGGTTTAGTTGTCCTAATCTTGTAAGTACATGTAGAGATCATTTCTTTTATCGTGCATTACTTAGTGCACCATTTTAATCTGTTCCTCTATTGTGGGGTTGCCGGAGTTCAAAACGTATATAAAATGTTTCCAGGTGTAGTCCCGGCTAATTGCACCCTTCATATTTTCAGAGAAGAACAAGCAACAAACAATCTGGAATAATGAGGGCAAGGGAACGGCTATCGTGTGCAGTTGGAAATGTGTTCAATGACACCTATACACAACTTTTATTCTCATTCGCAATCCTATTCTACATGAAAGTACTGGAACTTTCAGCTTNATTTCGTTCAGCGTGCGCTACTTACGTCATTTTAATCTGTTCCTCTATTGTGCTTTTTGTCGGAGTTTAAAATGTATATAAAATGTTTCTGGCTGTAGTCCTTGCTAACTGCCCAGTATTGTCTTTAATTACACAGAACGACATAAAATAAATGTGCTGTTGTGGTTTCTCAGGTAGACCTGCAGGCGAGTATTTTAAAATAGATAAAGAACAATTGTCATTCAAACTTACGTTTTTCACAATCACACTCATGACGTCCGAACAGGTCGGGGTAGGTTACACTGTCTGGTCCAGTGACGTGTGAAGGAACTGGTTACAGAAGGACTTAAAGAAGTAAAGACGCCGAGAATTGTGAATATCATCAAAGTACCGGTCTTAACAGCTGTAATTCAAAGTACTTTCAGTACAGACGTAATCAAATTTGAAGCCAGATCATAGAATTGCCTTGCTTGGATTTTTTAGTTGTCATAATTTTGTAAGTACATGTAGAGATCATTTCTTTCATCGTGCACTACTTAGTACACCATTTTAATCTGTTCTTCTATTCTGCGGTTGCCGGAGTTCAAGCTGTTTACAAAACGTTTATAGGTGTAGTCCCGGCTAATTGCACCCTTATGTTTTCAGAGAAGAACAAGCAACAAAGAATCTGGAGTAATGAGGGCAAGGGAACGGCTATCGTGTGCAGTTGGAAATGTGTTCAATGACACCTATACACAACTTTTATTCTCATTCGCAATCCTATTCTACATGAAAGTACTGGAACTTTCAGCTTCACAAGCAGGGCTGATAGTTCTCATTGGAGAACTTTCAGACGCTGCTATGTCTCTGANTAGTCTTGTCCAGTGACGTGTGGAGGAGCCGCTCAAAGGCAGACTCCAAGAGTCGTAAATATCGTCAAAGTATTAGTCTTAACACGTATACTTCACATTTGTTGTCAGATTTAAAGCCAGATCAAAGATTAGCTTCGCTTGAATTTATGGTGCGACCGTCTCTGGTTTAGTTCTCGTAATCCTGTAAGTACATGTAGAAATCTTTTCTTCCCACGTGCACTACTTACTCTTGTAAGGTGGTCGGTGTTTGAATGAACACAAAATGTTTCTACGTGTAGTCCAGGCTAATTGCACCCTTCATGTTTTCAGAGAAGAACAAGCAACAAGCATTTTGGAATAATGAGGGCAAGGGAACGGTTATCGTGTGCTGTTGGACATGTGTTCATTGACCTATATACACAACTTCTATTTTCATTCCAAATAATATTCTTCATGAAAGTGTTGGAACTTTCAGCTTCACAAGCAGGGCTGATAGTTCTCATTGGAGAACTTTCAGACGCTGCTATGTCTCTGATATCTGGGTACCTTGGCGACAATGTCAACGTTCCTGTTCTGTCGAACAAAATCGGCAGACGAAAATCTTGGCATCTGCTTGGAACATTTTTAATGGCAATATGCGTCCCTCTTTTGTTCAACAAGTGCTTTCTGTGTGATGGAAGAGATCAAAGCTGGCTTCCACTTGTCTACTTTGGCTTCTTCTCGGCGTTAGTTNTGTGTGATGGAAGAGATCAAAGCTGGCTTCCACTTGTCTACTTTGGCTTACTCTCGGCGTTGGTTAAGATGTGCTTTAACATGGTGGCAATAAATCATTTGGCATTTGTCACCGATGTCACTGAAAAAGTCTCGGAATTTACGGCCGTTGTTGCCGTAAGGTTTGTGCCAAATAACTTTGATTTTATATTTACGTAGTAGCTGTGCTGCATTAATGAGCGTGGCATTTGAATCTCTCTATCCCGAAGAATCCAGATCCCCTCCGTATTAAAGCGGTTGGACTGTATTCAAGTTAACTAAACGTGCCTTCTCCTCAGACACGGTCAATTCAAGTAAGCGTTCTATCGCGAATACCGTTCTCTTACTGGTCATGCTACTCACTATCTATTCTGTTGTAGATAGTGAGTGATCAGGCTAGAAGTGTGCAGTTGTTATAATTAACAAAATGGTGACCTCTCCTTTGCGTTTTCGAATCGTGTGTGAAGAGGATCTAGGTAATTTACTAGTTGAATTTTGAACGATGAGTAGATTTATATTAAAACAATTCGATTATTCGCTCCCGATTTCCACGCTTGATTGAAATTTCGAGTACACAATCTAATTGCTGACGATTGTAGCAAACTAATTTTCTGCACGTCGAC